AAGGCAAGGAGTTCAGCAGTGCTCTGCTCCCTGGTCTGGACTTTCTCCCTGGAAAGATGGCTCCAGGGTGGGGTGGGGGGTGGGGGGTGGGAACCTCTTTGGACTTTGCAATGGGTAGGGCCTCCCTGAGGGTATCAGGATAATATTTGGGGGTGAGGGGAAGGGTCTATACAAAGGTCCTGCCACAGGCTTGGATCCCTAGCTGGAGGGGCCCAGTGGGAAGGCCCTGTCCCCATCTAGCCCAGTCTAGGGTGCTGGGGGTTCTTAGAAGGCAGGATGGGTCAGCGGGAAGTCCCTAGCAGGCACTGGGCAAGAGGTGGAGTGTCACCTTATCCTTGTCGCCCAAATTCATGAAGACCAGATAACTCAGATAATCCCCTTCCTCAGTGAGGGGGAAACTGAGGCCCAGGGAGCCAGCCTGGCTTTTGGGGACGTCATAATGCGGAAGACACAGCAGAGATCTGGATTCCTCTCAGCTCCTCAAATACCTTCCCCACCTCCTCCAGCATCCTTCTCACCCCCAAGTCATCAGCCCTCACATTTTTCCCTCTTGGGGTGGGGAGGGCCCTGAGAACTAGGGTGACTGCAGCCCATGGCCAGAGGGCCTGCACAGGGAGAGGCCCAGGGGCAGGTCTGTCTAGTGTCCCCCCTGTTTTCTCCAGGGTGGTGTCCTCTACCCACTCCCGGGCCTCTGGTGCCGGGCAAGGGGAAAGGTGTACATTAACGTTAAGCTAAGAGTTCAGAAGCCCACCCAGGCTGACCAGTCTCCCATGATGAGACAGCTCCTTGCAGCCATGTGGGGCCTCTACCCTGAGTGAGCCCAGTGAGGGTGACCCCAGGCCAGTGTTCCCTCCCTCCGACCCCGCCTGTCACCACCAGGTTTCCCATTTTCGCTGGGTGGGGGGCGCACCTAGGACACTGCCCTGAGCCCTCATCCCCTTATCTTCACACTGGCAAATATGAGTTGGGCTTATTTCCCACAACCTGGCTGTGGTTCTGACCCTGGTGACACCACCATCACCTAGGAAGCATTTGGAAAATAACTGATTCCCAGGCCTGCTCCAGACTCACTGACTCAGAAGCTCTGGTGCCAAGGCCCAGGAATCGATTTCTAAGAAGCTTCCCTGTTGATTCTTAGGCAGCCAGATGGGAATCTCAACCCGTCTAGGACAGTGCTCTTCTCAAACAGCTCATTACCCATCAGTGGTCTGTGAGATTAATTTAGTAGGCAGAGCCTAGCACATTTTCTTTAATGAAACTGAATAGACAATACCAAAGAGCATTGTGATGTAATGAGGGTAAGGTTTTGGGGGATGTAGTAAGGGCAGTGGTTTCGTGAAACTTTTGTTACACTCACACAGTCTGTGTGTGTGCCGCTCGGTTGTCCAAATGTCAGCTGTACTTACAGTGAGTTGCAGGGCACACGATCCAGTTATCTGCCCAGCCCTCACGCTCGCATCTCCGTACCCCACCGCGTCTGCATCTCCCAGAGTGGACTCATGCCTGCTTTTTTCTTTCACTAGGTCCCCTGCCCGAGCCCTTCACCAATGGGGAGATCCGGAAGGTAAAGGCAGACCCCTAACTGCTTCTCTGGCTCAGTCCGGGGCTGTGGGAAACGGGTGGGAGGTGGTGCGGTTGGGAGGACAGACGTGAAGCTCAGGTTGAAACTCTGGTTTCCAAGCTGCTCCCTCCTGAGCCCCAAGCTGTCCAGCTGCCGGCATACCCTCGGCCCTTGCCTAGGACCAGGGCCGTCCAGAGGGAGAGGCCTGGCACGCCCCTCCGCAGCCCGCCATCCTGGGTGACAAGCCCCACCTCCAACTCCCCACCGCACAGAGGAGGCCATTCTTCCCCCCAAGAACAGAGCTTCAGTGTCTGGCCGCACGCTGCCCCGCCGCTGCTACTTCCAGTCTGGGTTGGAAGAACAAAGCCCCTCCACCCCTCCTCCCCGGGCAGAAGGGACGGGAAGGCAGTGGAGGCTGGGGAAGAGATGGCGGGGCCAGTGCTAGCTGAGGCCACGGAGGAACCCAGGCGGGGGCTGAGCGCCAAGCTGCAGCCCCAGCCAGCGCCTTCGCTCTGGGACCGTCCAACACGGAGATGGACCACAGAGCGGAGCTTGCTGCAGAAGCTGCGCAAAGGCTTCCCTTCCGCAGGGGCTCCTGCCAGGGCACAGAGGAAGGGGGACACCTCAACCTTACGTTGCTCCATCTGTGGGTCTAGAAGTCTCGTCCACCTTATTCTTTTAAAGCCCTTCTTGGCTGCTTTGGGGTTACAGTTTCAAGATTCCTGGGGTCAAGTTCAAGTAAACGGTCGGGGGGCCACAGGAGATTTCAGGGAGCATCGCAGGTGTTCCCCATGCCAAATAAAGAGGCCCCCAGTGTCCCCATGCTCCAGGAAGCCCCACTGGCCCAAAAGGCAAGTCTGTCCTGAAGGCCTCCTTGGGAGGCCTGGGGAGTGTGTAATTCAGCTGATCCCATGATGGCCCTTCCCACCTGGAGGTGGAACCAGGCTGCCTCTGATCCTTGGAGGAATGCGAAAATGTCAATCCCCCGAGGGCCTCTGGCAGGCTCGGGCAGTGGGGCTGTCCGGTGGTGGCAAGGGCTCAATGGAACTCATCAGGCCAAGGAACCTATCTTCCCTAGGAACTCCCTTTTCTTGCTCAGGACTTCCCCACCCCATCCCCCACTAACCCACACCTGTCCTGTCTCTGCCAGGAGAACAGTTATGAGGCCCTGGTCGAGGTGGTATCCGAGAACCCCAGGCCAGCCCTGGCAAGATCCGCCTCCAGCGACACCAGCGAGGAGGTAGGGGGCTGGGCGGGCAGGGGGTGGCACCGCATTACTAGAAGCCCATTCCCAGGCCACACTCCTTCCCGGCGCACACCAGCCTGCCCTGGAGGTCACATGCTGAGCCACGTTTTACTCTTGTGACCCGGCTTCCCTGGGCACTGCCCCAAGGGAGCCACCTCGCCCAGGCTGGGGACCAGGACGCCTTGCCAGGCACTGACTCCTGCTCTCCGCCTCCCCTCCTCTTCACAGCTGAACTCTCAAGACAGCCCCAAGAAACAGGACTCCGCCGCACCCTCATCTACCTCTTCCTCCTCCTCCGACCCCATCCCCGACTTCAACATCTCCCTGGCCCTGGCCAAAGAGAGGGCCCACCAGAAGCGCAGCAACAAACGGGCCCCGCAGATGGACTGGAGCAAGAAAAACGAACTCTTCAGCAACCTCTGAGGGCCTCCCCCCGGCCACCCAGGAAAGCTGGAGAGCGGGGCCCACCCCTGACCCAACTCCCTCCCTCTTCCCACTTCCCCACAAATGACCTGCGAATCAGCACCAGCATCTCCCCCCTCAGCAAATCTGATTTTTCTAGAGAACTCTGTTCCTCCCTTACCTCAGAGAAAGTGAATGTTTTTCTGTCCTACCCCAATCAAAAAGCAGACTCCTCTCCTCCTCCTGAGTGCTTCAGCCTATCAGGTGTCCCCTTGCCTCCCACCTGGGACCTCACAGGGAACTGCACCAAGCAAGAATTGCAGGACCAGGTGAGAGCTCACGACCCCAGGTGACGAGTGGGTCCAGGGTTAATCAAGGACGCAGAACTCAACCACGTCCTGAGAGCTGTGGGTTGGGCATCTTATTTTTGTCATTCGATTTTTTCTAAGAGTGCAGTATCGCAGTTTAGAGGGATTTTTGTTTCCTGATTAACGTGATTTTCCAGGTTGTTGCATCCAGGACATAGTGGTGGCCTTGGCCTTAAACTTTGTTTCTACTCCCACCCCAGGAAGCTGGGCGGGTGCGGGGAGGGTTTGGCCAGACCCTGCCCAGCCCTGAGCCAGGTACCACCATTGTAATTATAAGGAAACCCCATCAGAAATTCAACTGGTTTCCCCAAACCACCTCCGCCTGTGTGTCTTCCTTTAGAGACTCCTAGCCTTGAGAAAATAGTGAACATGTGTTCCCAGCGTGGCCCCTGGTGGAGAGGGTAGGGCTGGAGGGAGAGGGTGGTCCAGGGCTCCCTGGGACCCCAAGCCCGGCAGTGGGAGGCAGGCAGCTTTAACCAGAGGGCCTTGGCCTGTAGCTGTCCGGACGTCCGGGGTGGGAGCCGGACACACACAGGCTCCATCCAGATGGATATCCAGAGAAGTAGAGCCCAGCCCCACCTGCTGAGAGGGCTGAGCCTTCCTCTAATTCCAGGAGGGCTGGAAGTGTGAATCCTGGCTGGAGCCCATTGTGAATGTGAAGACTAGGCTTTGATCTTGCCGCCCTCGGCCAGTGGGGTGCAGGATTCCCAGGAGTGGCCTGAGCTGGCGCCAGATTCGCTATCTTATCTTGCCCGGGACCTGATTGGAGGGCAGTTATCCAGGCCTAGGGGAAAACAAACCCAGGCCCCAGGACATGCCATGCGGCAGGTGAGGTGCGGGGGGACTTTCCAAGGGCAAAAAATGCCCTCTTCCTCCACAAGAGATCCAGGTTCCTTATACCGCTGGTACTGGAGGCCACATCCTAGGGGCCACCAGGGTGGCCTGAGAGCTGAGGCTGCTGGGCCACAAGGTGCTCAGAAGGGAGGGACGCTGCCCTGGGCTACTCCGCTCCTCCAGGAAACCTCTCAGAAGCTAGGCTCCTGGGACTGAGGAGAAAAGTGAAAAAGCTACCGAACCAGGGAGGGCACCTGTGGGGCCCTGGGGTTGAGAGAAGGGCCAGTCACTCTCTGGCCATCTTGCCCGCTGTTTGGGTTTGTATCCAAAGCCCATATTAGCACCAATTGCCCCAAGCCCTGCTCAGCTGGTGGGCCTGGCCCCCCAACCCTTGCCTCTGCCCTTTGACCCTGACGGAGGCCCCCACAGGTGAGCAGGCCTCAGAACTGCCCCACGACATCATCTACTGGGTGGGGAAGCCCTAAGCTACTTTTGACCCTAAGCTGAAGACGGGGCGAAGGGGTTGGGGGCTCAGAGGGACCCCGACTGCTATAGGGCTGGGGGCATGGCACAAAGGCGGCACAGCAAGTTTGTGTCTCAGATTCGGGCATGTTTTAGATTCTTTTTACATGTGTCATCTGGTGTCAGATGCCAGAATCAAGGGGCCTGAGAACTGGGGGGCCTCAGCAATAGTTCTGGTTCTGCCATCGCGAGGCCTTGGGAGCCACCTCGACTTGCCTGGGATGGTTTCCTCGCCAAAAATGTCCTAGGTGCCCTCAAGTCTCTACCATGATTGTGTTTTGAAACATGCCTGGCCTTTCTTGACAGCCAGCCCAGATTATGACAGGGTTTGAGGATGGTGAGAAGTCAAAGGGTGTCCCCCTTCCTGAGATGGGGAGACAGGCCCAGCTCTGCCTGTTAAGCAACCCTCTTGAGGCGGCCTGGCCATCCTGAACCTGTGCCTCTGGCGCCCCCTTGTGGCCTTGTCCCGGGCAGCTGCTCCCAGAGGTGTACGGGTGAGGAGTGGAGAGCAGGGACAGGTGCCTTCAGGAGGCCTGAAGCTTTCAGCAGAGGGGTGCTCAGGACACAAGGAGCTGTATCCAAAACTAACTAATTCGACGTTCAAAACTGGCTCCAAAGAGAAAGGAGGAGCAGAGATACCCACTCTCCAAGCCATCTCTCTGTTCTAACAAGGCCAAGCTCATTCATTTCCAAACCTCCCAGGGTCACACCTGGCCGGCTTCCACAGGATAGAGCACTGAGCTACTACCCCCGTCCTGTCCCTCCCACGCTGGGCCTCCTGGTGGCTCACCTCCACACAGGCCCAATGAGGAAACGGGGAAAGCTGACCATGCAGAGTGCTTTACTCCCGGCCAGGGCCTCGGCCCCAGGGCGGCACCTCTGGCCTTCCAGGGGAAAGGGAGGGCCTGCCTATTCACCAGGCGCCCTCCGTCTCCAGCTCCAGCTCCACTCTGCCTCCTCCCGTTGATTTGTGCTGTCCACTCCGGGTTCCCAGAGTCTCAGTCCAGGTCTAGCCGGGAGGAGGGGCGCCCTGGAGTCACTCAGTCGTACTGCCAGTCTGACGGGGGGGCCAATGCAAGTCCAGCCCAGAGTCTGAAAGGCCCCGAAAGGACATTCCCAGCCTGGAGCGGGACCAGGAGCACTGCCCCGAAGGCCCCATCCATTCATTTCCTATGGCAGGGCTCTGTCACTACCCATCTCTATAGGGCTTCTCTTCCACGTGGCTGGTCTGCTCCAGAAGCCACTGCCGCTCTGGCTCACTCATTGTCAATCTGAGTGTCACCTCCTGGAAGACGCTGCTCACAGCCACCTAGTGAGCCAAAGAGATCAGGGTTGGCTAAGTTACACCCACAAGTCCAAGCACCCGCGGGCCCCACCACCCAGACCCAGGCTTCGCCCTCCTGCCAGCGACATCCTTACCTGCTCAAAGTGAAGTTTTTGGAACATCCGGATACTCGGTTCATTTCCTTGCCCGATTTTAGCCTCAATCTTGGTCAGACCTAGCTTGGTCACTCCTCCCAGAGATCAGAAAGGGACAAGCTGCAGGATGAAGGTCCCTCCAGCCCACTCCACCCCTCCTGTCCCAGTTTGCGGTAGAGGCACCTGTCACCCCACACCCTACCCCCACCACCTTCAGGCCTGAAGTAGGCTCACCCCCAACATGCGCTAACCCTCACCTGGGGCCTGGCCACATCTCCCCACATTGCCTGCTCCAACTTCTTACCATAAGACATCATCATGAGAACGGCCTCAGTGCCAAAGCCCTTGCCCCGGCAGTCGGGCTCTAGGAGAAAACAGTCAATTACTGACACCGCGTGCCAGGCTCCAGAGCACGGACTTGACAGACACAATCTCATTTAATCCTCATCGCTCTATAAAGTTCATAAATACTACCGTTCTGCAGATGAGACAGAGGCAATGAGAAGGTTAACGACTTGCCCAAGGTCTCAGCTTGGATACACCTAGCACCCTAACCCAGAGCTGACCCCTGAACCTCTGTGCCACCTCATGAGGAGTCACATAGCCCCTTAGGGGATGGCTAAGGACCAAGAAGGACGCAGAAACTGGATGGGCTCCTCCCGCAGCATGGGAAGGTGCTCCAGGCAAGGCTAGTTATTCTGGAGGGTTCCCACGATACCCTCAAAATGGGACAGACTGAAGTCTGAAGACCCTAAAACCAAAGGTTAAGTTCACACCAAAGCATAAGACGAGAATAAAGTAAAGGACAGAGTGAGGCACGGGGTGCCAAGTGGCAGTCTGCCCCGGCCAGAGCCTCCCACTGGGTTTTCTGAGGCCCCTGTGCAGCCTCGGCTGGCTTAAGGTTCAGCAGATCCGAGGGCCAGAAGGGAGGGGAGGCAGGGCCAGGCGGAACAAACCTGCAATCATGACCTCAATCTCCCCCAAGGAGGGGTCCCCTAGATCAGTGAGGAAGAGGTTCACGTCTCCCGCCATGCAGCTCTCTTCGGCGGTGCCTGGCTGGGCCTGCCACTTCTCTGCATCCAGCACAATGAAGGTACACTCTAAGGAGGGAGGCAACAGGGTTATCACCTAACTCCCCAAAGCAGTGCAGCAAGGAAAGTCTTCCTACCCCAAGCCAGAGAACTACCATCCTCTCTGAGTCTGGTGGGAGAAAAGGGGGGAGCCAGAGCTTCCTTCAGCTGATTACAAAGCCCTAACTCTGCCTCTTGCAGGAAACAACAGCCTTTTCCAAACATCGTTTTGGAAAACGATGGCCTTTCTTTGTATTCTCAGAAAGTGGGGGACCCAAAGAGCAATAACCACATTGGGCTTGCAACAAGGGACAGGAGGGGCAAGGCCTCAATCACAGCCAGAACCCCTAACACGTTCGATCCTTTGAAGCCTGGTGCAGTGAGTGGGGAAGAGGACAAGCATCAGCCACACGGAGCGGCCTCAGTGGACATAGGGTCTGAGAGTTTCAGGCACCTTCCAGGCTTTTCATGAAGCGCTTTGCACAAGGATTCTGTGGCTCCAGAGGGCTGCAGCTGGGAATGAGGAAGGGAGGGAACCTGGAGACGTCAGCCCTCCCACTACCAGCTCAGCCCTGGGCCTCCGCTTCTCACTGTCCGCATCTTCCCGCCAGCTGCGCTGCATCGCAAACTCCTGCTCCAGGGTCAGCGGCTCGGAAGCTGTCAATCGCTGTAGCTCCTCTGATTTCATCCACTCGTGGTACCTGCAGGGACAGACGGATGGCTTCCGGCAGGCAGGGCTGATTCAGAGGCATGGGTCTGACACTATGAGATGAAGAAATGGATGGTAGAAAGGAGAACCCTACAGGACTAACACAGGGCTCAGAGGAGACCCAAAGAAAGGATTATAATTGTTCCTAAGGCAAACGGCCATAGGCACAAGACCGAGAGGCAGGCTGGTCCTACAAGACAACAGCAGGAAGGGTCAGTTCTATCCATCCAGCTTCCCATCCTGTCTCAGGAGTCAGTGCAGGGGAGCCGTCTGAGGCCAAACATTCCTCCAATTCCTCAGGGAAAGTACATGGCAAGTCAACCTCAGCAAAGAAGGCTGGACAGATCTCCACAAAGGCTGGGGACCAGGAACCCCCCCAAAAGGAAAGCTACAAGTAGCGTACACCCCTACACCACCACCATCCCAGTCTACCAGACTGTGCCAACTGCCCCCACAGAGTCCCACCCTGTGACTCAGTCCTGGCCTTTCCAAACAGTAGACATCAGAGCAACCCATCAGCTCACTCTTAGGACAAGCTAACATTAAATCAAGAACTGAGTATATTCATTGGCACCAAAGGGATGTCATTAATTTATAATTAGGTGAGAAGGCAACTTCTTGTTTTCTTGCGTACGTGTAGTTTACATAAAATAAGTCCCTGCGGAAAGGCCAAAAAGGAAGCTGGGAGGGTGAAAGGGAAAAACGGGATGGGTGACTTCTTCCACGAGAATCAGAGTCCTCTGCTTCGGTTTTCACTTTTTCCTGTATGGAATTACTTCTGACGCCGATGTTTCTCCTTCTCAGAGGAAATGGCTCTTGAGATCTGGGCTAAGGAAGGCTGACGCCCCTCGCCGCACCTTCTGGAGCTAGCTTGCGTCCCGTGTCAGGTGGAACGTTACCTAGGCACATGCTGTGAGGTGTAGGGCACCAGCACCACCTTCTTCCCCATCAGCAAGACGTTCTGATTTAACCTCATGGGAGCAGCCTGCGGGTGGGGAGGGCAGACTTCAGGACCCCGAGTTTTCTCCCACTTAGGGTGAGAACCCACCCTCTCAATCCGCTAAATGCCTCCTGAGAGTAAGCTGTCCCTCTTTCCTTTCAAACACCGCAGAGAACAAGGACCCCTTGCAAGAAGGGGGGCCGGGCTGGTTAAAGAGAGTTAAACAATCCTCGCCTCGCATCTCCAGGAGCCAGGCCTGACCCACCAAGACCTATTCCCAGAGCTCCCATCACGTGGCCAGTCCTGAAGCTCCGCCCCAGAATCACCTCCCAGCCCGGCCTTAAACCTGTTTCCAACCACCCCTCGGGGCTCTGGGCCTCCCCTTTCCCCACCTCCCAAGCCAGGTCAACCAGGCCGCTGTTGGGTGAGGCAGGCTTAGATTCTCAGTCCCCTCCACTTTGCGTGGAGCTATGGGCTGCTCTCCTGTATCCTCACCCCCGATCCCAACCACCGGGGTCCCGGAACGACCAAGTTCACGCCCACTCCGCGCCAACAACAGCGTCCCCCAGCAGAGGGTACGACCCACCTCTGCTAACCAGCCCCACTTCCCTACCCGGCCGGCGGTCGCCCCTCCCGCATGCGCACGGGAGCGCACCCCGCCCACTTCCGCCACGCAGACGGCAACCACCGGGACCCAATCCCGGTCCCGCCTCCGCGAGGCGCCCAATCAGCGCGCTGCGCCCCGCCCGAGGCGCGAGCGGGCTAGGTGGGCTCCAGGCGCAAGCGCCTGCGCGCTGTGGGCGCTGGTGCGGGACAGCTGGCGCCGGCAGCCGCGGAGGGGCTGGAGCCCGCGGCGGCGGCGTCCCGAGCGTGCTGCGCTGCAGGTGAAGGGCCGGGCGCGCGGGTGGGATGCGCTCGGGCAGCGTCAGACTCGGGGCTCCTCCGGGAGGAGGGAAGAAATCGGAGGACGCTCGGAGCGGCCCTTGAGAACACGGGGAGGCTTAAGGGTGGGGAACCCTAAGGCAGGTCGGAAGGCAGGTTGGGGCAGGGCGGGAAGTGGAGCCCCGTTAAAAAGGAGAGGCTTTGGAGCAAGGAGTTGGGTTGGAGGGCGACCTAGGAAAGCCCCCGGCCCCTCGCCCTAGGCGGAGGAGGCAGTTACTTGGGCTTTCCTGAGTGGTCGTGAGCTCGCTGTTCATGGCATTAGATGGGGATAGCCATCGCAAAGTGTATAAAGGGGGCGCTTGTGGCGGGTGTGACTTAGTGGCTTCTGAGGCCCCTTATATCTCTTGGGGTCTGAACGGCATTGAATACATTCATGCCCTCTGGACAGCAAGGGAAAAAAATCCAGCCAGCTGTCAGTCATCCAAGGAGACCCTTCCCTCCCCGCTGTCTTGTGACAGATATTGAGGCCGTAAGTTGTCTGTGATAAGGGCACGGGGCTGAGGGGGTCCGCAGACCTCCCGCCACCCCATCTAGGTCCATCATAAAGCTGAACTCTGCTCTCTTGCTTTAGGGAGCTGCAGCAGCCGTAGCCCCCACACGGAAGGAAGCTCAGGTGCAGAAGGACCCTTCCTCACTTTTGGAAATGGCGGGTGACATCACAGAAGCCGGGGATCTCTATTCTCCCTACGTGAGTTTTACTTTCGGAGCCTGTTTTGTCCACATGCGTGCCCCTGGCTTCCAGAGAAGCACTCTGCTTCCTGTGGACAGTACTAGTGAATGCCGTGCCTGCCTGGACGCTGGGGGAGGGGGGGAGGGGCTCGATTTAGCAGCAGCCATTTGGCTGCTGTCCTCGCTCAGAACATGTTGTGAGAGTCAGGTGTATTCACTTTTCAGGTGTTGATCAGAGAGTGGTCAAGAAAACAAAATTAACTTGCTAACTCTTTGTAATATTTACCTAAGGGCTACTATCCCTTGCACGGTGTGCTGCCTGCCAGTTCAGATGGACAGTGATTGACAGCTGTTAACTGGGTTTTTGCTCATCTCAGCAGTTTGAAACCACTTTGCTGTTCAGCTGAATTTTAAGTTGCACAACTTTTGTAGTCTTGGATGGTGAAAGAGGCAGAGAAAGCACGCGGACACTTCCAGTTGCAGCTTGGTGGAGTCTGTAATTAGAAAAATTAGAAGGATTGATTTCTCCCTTCTTTGGTTCCCCATTACCCCCTGCCCCCCACCACCCCACCCCACTCCCAACACACACACACTCAGCTGATCTTTGTGCACTATAAGACTGGTCATGGTTACATCATGGAGTCCTCTTGCCTGGATAAGTAGCTGGAGGATTGGAATAATCGAATGATTGACTCATGTTGCCACCAAGTAACCCAGGGACAGGAGCAAGCGTCCTCGTCCTAGAACTTACCTGCTCTTAAACAGCTGCCCTCCTTTGCGCTTAGCATCCTAGCCTGGGGATCCCTGCTAGCTTCAGAAGCTAGAGTCTGTGGATGGATAAGGAAGCATCTCTGGGAACAGCAGGGGAAAAGCATTCCTTACACCAGGGTCTTCCTGCTGGGTGTGTGTCATTCGTGTGTAGCACCAAAGGGGCCTCCTTCACCTCAGGGATTTATCAGGGGACGTCTTCCTTGAACCCTGGAGTGAATTGAATCGTGTGCCTCTCGTCTGAGGAACTGTGCAACAGCACACAGCCTCCTCTTGGTATCAGCAATGTCCACACTGTCCATAAAAGTCACCACAGTTCCTGCTGATTCTCACAACACCTATAAGCTTAGAGATGAGTCGTTTCTATAACTGAGTTTGGGGAAGGAAAAAACTGAGTTGTCCACTTTTCTTGCGTCTCCAGTTGTGTAGGTAATCATTTCACATGTCAGCTTGTGCCCACAGGAAATTGGGCATGCACCCTACAAGCTCCAGTGCGTTCTGCTCCCCACCCCCATTTCCTATGTGTTTGGGGTTTGTTTGAGGGCCTACTCTGGGCATTTGCCATAAACAACTGCTGGGTGGCATTGAGGACGAGGTGGCATTACCAGGAGTTAGTGGTCAGGGTTTGAGGAGAGAACACGCCTTCTTCCTGAGGTTTCCTTCACTCCATCATCCTGGGAGAATAGCTCTTGATCCCCCATGAGGCCAAGATCTAAGGCCAAGAACCTTACACCCTTCTGTAAGGTCCCTTATCCACTGAGCCCAGATAGGCTGTGGAACCGGCTCTACTGTGGATGCTGCTTAGAATTCCCCTGCTCAGCGCAGTGTGGGCAGAACCTGCTGTGGCACCTTGGGAGACCGAGGGCACTTGCACAGTCCATGAATGTGCCCTTGACCTGGTGATTCCCAGCACAAGGCCTCTCCCCACCTCTGTGTCGCCCTGTTGTGAGTGCTTGTCCCATTCATGGGTGTTGAGGACATTTGTCTTAGCTTGCATTCTGCATAAAGTATTTGTAATGGGCAGACGACCGACCCTGTGAAGGATAGTGCTTGACACAGGAACACGATTCAGGCCTGTAAGTCCTCATTTACGGGTACCAGGAGTGTGGCTCAGGACAGAAAGGACTGCGTGGTCAAAATAGAGGATGAGGCAGAGCACCGGCTCCACAAGGGCCAGCTGCCGAGGCTGCCTTCCGCCAGCCGGTCGTGCCAAACACCATTGCTGTTGCTTTCGAAGGAAAGAGCACTAGTTTCACAGCCTTAAGTCCTAGTGGTTGCCACCGCATCTCTGCTGCCTTCTGTTTCCTTTGATAACTGTCAATGGGGAAGCTGTTGAAAGACACCCGTGACCCTGCCTCATGCACGTCCGTGGGTGAGGCTGCTGGCGGCGGGTGAGGCAGCTGGAACGCTGCACTGAACGCCCTGGAGCCTAGGGAAGCCGTCCCAGGGCACGGGCACTGTGCCTTCTCCAGTGCAGCCGCAGGAGAAGAGCCGAGAGTGGGAGGCAGCTCAGTTTGGCCTGCAGGGGCCACAGTGTGCATAGGTCTTTACTGACACTGCAGTGAAGCTTTATTCCTCAGCTTTTGGCCACACTTCTCAGGAGGCTGTCCCCAAGAACTGTCCCATCCCAGCAGAAGAGAAGGTCTCCGTCCTCTTCCTCCGGCTCCACACCTGCCTTTGACCCAGCCTGTGGCTCAGTGCAGATTTGCTTCCTGCCTCCAGTCTGTTCCTAGTGATTGGTCTTTACCGGCCACCTTTACTGAAGGGAAAGAGGATTTAAGTCTTTCCAGGAAGGTGAGACAGTCTTAGAATATCCTACACGATTCCCTGAGCCCCACTGGGCCCAGGATACTTGCTTCGGTAGCAACACAAGACAAATGAGATTACCCACCTGCTTCTAATTGCCAGCAGTTTCGCCCTAATGGACTTCTTTGTAAAGTTCTTAAAGAGTCTTTTTCACTGAGAATTATTTAAGTTTCTGTAGAGAGTGTGCTTATTTCATTGTGTCTTTATCAGCAATGATCCTCGGCTGGTGTCAGTGTCACCCCCCAGGGGACATTTGGCAATGTCTGGAGACATTTTCAATAGTCACACCTTGGGGGCAAAGTGAGGGTCCTAGAATCTAGGGGGTAGAGGCCAGGGATGCTGCTAAACATCCTACAACACACAAGACGGGCCCCAGCCATAGAGAATTAGCTGACCCCAGCTGTCAGCAGTGCTCAGGCTCAGAAACCCTGATCTGCAATAAACCTTTGACTTTTATACCCCAAGACCTTTAGGCATCCCTGATGATGCAAATGCCTCTTGCAGTATTTCATTTCCCCATAAAACTTCTAGCCAAGAACCATCACTTCCTTAGGCCTCTTTGCTTTCTCTACTTTCTTCATGAGAACCGCTACCAGGGCCATTTTTCATAAAGAAATAAGGTTCTACTCTTCATAAGTGTTACTGTTTATAAAAGTGATACACAGAGAACAAAGCTGCAAGGAGATCAGACATTACTAGGTCATCTACCGGGGCCTGGGCTGTTAGTGCCCTGCTTAAAACCCTGCAGAACCTTGAACTCCCTGTCACAGGCCCCGGGGCCCCGTGCAGTCTGGCTGCCGCCTGGCTTGTGCTCCAGTCACACCGGCCTCGAAGCTCCTCGAACATGCTGCCCTCTTTCCCACCTCAGGCCTTTACCTGGAAGTCACTTCCCTGGCCCTTTGCCTGGGCGGCTTCTCTTCCTTCACGTCCCAGCTTGAATGTCACCATGAGGCCTTCCTGAGTGCCCTGTATTTAAAGAGCTCCCATTATGCTTTGTCACAGCACCCCGCTTCTTCCTTCAGGCGCTTCTCCGAGGCTGCCATCGTTTTTTTGTTGCCGCTCTCCTCCATGAAGTCAGGGGCCACATCTGTCTTGCTGACTGTCGTATCCCAGCTCCCAGAACCAGGTCCATGGAGGGCTCTCGCAGTTGTTGAGTAAATAGGCAGAACCGAGCTAGCTAAATGACTCCGTCCCGTACTTGGAATACCAGCCTCAAAGTGCAGTGATTGAAATTAACCCAACAAAAGTAAAACTTGGTTTCTTGTAGATATTCGCAGTTACCTATAAAAAGCCAGCCCTGGGGACTTCCAGTTAAGAAGGCCAGTGATGGGCTGTGTGCCCTGTTTCCCACCCACTGTTACCCTCACATTTAGTCTCGGAAGACCGTCCTGGGCCAGGACTCCCAGTAGGGGAGGCACATCACAGTAGTGTTGTCACCCAATCGTGTCCTACAGGAAAACAATTCAAACTTGTTTTAATCCTTCTGGGATCTGTCTGTGGGATCAAACTGAGATTGTGGTGTTTAAAACGGGCGAAGACTGTCCGATACACGTCACAAAAAGCCTGAACCGGGTCCAGTCAGCTCCGCTGAGGGTTCCTGCCTTGAGCGTGTGTGCCAGGCACCCTGAGAAACACCGAGAGAAGTGAGACACAGGCCACAATGAGCCCGAGATTTAGTGACGGGGAAAAGACAAATATACCAACACCAAACACCCAAGCTAGGACCCAAGAAGTGTTCTTGCCCCAGGGGTTCAGAGGTGGGGAGCGAGACAAATTTGGGAGACTGGGGTGGGCTTTGTGGTGCGTGTATCATTTGAACGGGCCCCGAATGCTGGGTGCGGCTGGGCAGGCGGCACAGCGGGCTTGGGGTCGGTGTCAAGTGCAGGTGGGCTGGGCAGAGCCCTTTCCTCTCTCCAGGTGCCCTCACATTTGTCCAGCACTCGGACGTCAAGTCAACACCTGCCCAGACGCCTGTCCCTCCCTAACCACTGTCAAGGGCCCCAAAATGGTAGTGGGTGCTCCCTGTCTGTTTTCTTCCCTTAAAAATCTGACAGGCTGGGAGGATAGGCCCCAGTGTATGTGTTTCTGATAAAAAATGTAACAGATGGGTATCTTAGAAAAAAATGTTAAATGTAGAAAAGTGCATCTAAGAACGGGGTAAGTAAAAATGAGGGACAGGCAGGTGTTCCCAGAGACGAAGTGTTTGCTGCTGTTTTTAACTGATCAGAAACAAGTGGAAAGCAAACTGCAAGTCAGCTGATTCAGCAGAGAACAGGAGGACCATTTAGGAAGCTACTGTCACAGTCCAGGCCAGAGATGATTAATTTGACTTGTAAATGAGAAGAGGAGCCAGAGGTGGCCACAGAAGACTCTTCAGAAATAAAACCACTAGCGCTGGGACGGGGAGTGGGAAGGAAGGAGGCTGGTGATTGTTAAGATGCAGTTTCAAAAGGGTGCCGGGGCTGGAAACTACAGAGCATGGCAACTTGGAGAGGAAGGCAGAGGACATAGGTCGCTTCTTCAGTGAGTTTGGTTAAGGGAAAGTGAGAGGGTGATGTTTTAAAGGTGTCGAGGACGTATGTGTTAGAGGTGAAGAGCTGATAGGAGAAGATTCCAGAAAGAAGGGCTGAGCCTAGCAACAAAGAGGGAGGACACCTGTCCCCCAAAGACAGGGAACAGAGTCGTGGGACACAGACAGTTGATTTTTGAGCTGGGAAAGAGAGAGGCATGGGGAGCGCATGTCAGATGGCCTGTCACCTCCATAACAGAGGAGATGCAGTCCTCATATGAGAGAGAGAGGGGTCATGGGTCTGGCTTTGGAGCAGTTCCATGGGAAATGCTCGGAAGTCCATGGTAAGGAGTAAAGAAAACGTGTTGCTGTGAAGGTGACACAGGTGAAGGATCCATCCTTTGTTGTGGGGCACGTCATTATAATTTTTCAAAAAATTCCAGGAACCTTTAGCAGTTCTGCATGAGGGAGTGGAGGAAACAGGTGCTGAGTCCCACCCATCAAGGCTGGGGGTCAGGAAGGTTAGGGCAGGGAAGGGGGAAGGAAGTCGGGGACAGTGCGTGCGCTTTGCGAACTAGCTGATTGCAAGTGATGCCCAAGAATGTAAGTGAGACCGAATGGAGGTGGTGGCCTGGATAGGGAAAGTCGGCGGGGGGGGACAGGAAGCCATCATGGGGACAGAGGAGGTTCAGTGGGAATGGAGAGGGTTGTGGAAGGCAGGGACTTCGGGCCAGAGGAAGGGATTTCATGGTCAAGATCCTGAAAAGGAATAGCGGTAATGAACTGACCTAGAGTCGAGTTGGTGTGAATTAAAGTTTAAAACTTGAAATCAGCAACACAGCACTTCCACCCGAGGTGGGTTGCCAGGGGCCAGTGTGAGGGGCAACGGGAACCAGCTGCTGGTGGATGCGG